ACACTGTTTTGAAGGTCAGCTTCTTCTGCATTCAAACCCCAACAGGTCCTTCCCCCTGGGGTGCCCCATCCTGCTGAAAAGGCGATCACAGGAAACTGGAGAGGCGTATTGTTCTCTCTTTGCTTGGTGACCCTCACCGCCCCATTAAAATCTAGCCTGAAACTCTGCCTGAGGGTCTTCAGCCATCATCGGCACGCATAGCCTCGCTGATGCATTGCATACTAATGAGACAGCGGGGAGCGGGCCATGTGGAGTGGGCGACAGGATGGGGTGGGGGCATCTTTGAAGTGTGAGTTTTCATTGGTCACCATTAACCAGAATTAATATGAGAATGATGCGTGATTATTAGTGAGTTAATTATTGAGTTTGATGCAGGAGGAGCTGCACTGTGAGTGCGGTGAGAGTTGTTGGTCCCATCCAGGTGATTTTGTGTGCTGACTGTTAATGGAAAGACACACTGAGATATTATTCATTCTGCTGACTTGCTGAAGCATTATTGCCTCCACCTTGGAGGTTCTGTTTTCATTTGGCGGTTTGTTTTTGTGCCTCTGTGTCAGCAGGAAATTTGATATTTGAAAAACTTTTACAATTTATAAGCTGGGCATCAGACTAATGAGACCACTGATCATTTTTTTTGATGGGATCAAACTAATATAGCAAAGAGAGTCTGGTGGATTATAACTTAGAATCAATATATAATTATACTTGTAATTAAAATTATGAATATTAATGTCTTGATGCACGTTCAGTCATCCAGGTAAGTAAATCCCCAAAAGTTGATTCTGTTCATCTCATTTTCTGCGTTTTCTCAATGAGCTTCACGAGGTCGTCACCTGAAATGGTTTTCCAACAGTCTTGAAGGAGAGATGCTGAACACTTGTTGGCACCTTTGCCGTTAGTCTACAGTCTACCTATTGTCATAGGTTAGGTGACTGCAAGCCAGGCCATCTGACGCATCACTCTCCTTGGTCACATAGCCCTTACACAGCCTGGAGTGTGTTTGGGTTCATTGTCCTGTTGGAAAAGAAATGATGGTCCAACTAAATGCAGGATGCTGTGGTAGCCATGCTGGTTCAGTGTGCCTTCAATTTTGAATAAATTCCCAACAGTGTCACCAGCAAAGCACCTCCACACCATCACTCCTCCTCCTCCATGCTTCACGGTGGGAACCATGCATGTAGGGACCATCCGTTCACTTTTTCTGCGTCGCACAAAGACACAGCAGATGGAAGCAAATTTGGAGTCATCAGACCAAAGCACAGATTTCTGGTAATTTCTGGTCTAATGTGCATTCCTTGTGTTTCTTGGTCCAAACAAATCTCTTTTGCTTCTTGCTTTTCCTTAGTCGTGGTTTCTTAGCAGCTATTTGACCATAAAGGTCTGATTCACACAGTCTCCTCTGAACAGCTGATGTAGAAATGTGTATGCTACTGGAACTCTGTGACATTTATCTGGGCTCTAATCTGAGGTGCCTTTAACTTGGGATTTCTGAGGCTGGTGACTCAGATGTATCCTCAGCAGCAGAGGTGACTCTTGGTCTTCCTTTCCTGGGGTGTGCCAGTTTCCTCGTAGCATTTGATGGTTTTTGCGACTGCACTTGGAGACACATTCAAAGTTTTAGCAATTTTCCAGACTGACTGACCTTCAGCTTTTAAAGTAATAATGGAATTTGGTTCTTGCCATAATATGAATTCTAACAGTAGTCAAATAGGGCTGTCAGCTGTGAAACAACCTGACTTCTGCACAACACAACTGATGGTCCCAACCCCATTAAGAAGGCAAGAAATTTCACAATTGACCCCTGACAAGGTGCACCTGTCAAGTGAAACCATTTCAAGTGATAACATCATGAAGCTCATTGAGAGAAGGCCAAGGGTTTGCAGCGCTGTCAACAAAGGGTGGCACTTTGTGCAAATCTAAAATATAAGACATATGTAGAGTTATTTATGAATTTATTCTTTGCTACATAATTCCATATATCTTGCATGATATATTTGATATCTCCAGTTTGTATCTACAATATAGAAAGTAGTAAAAATAAAGAAAAAACAATACCTGAGAAAGTGTGTCCAAACCTTTGACTGGTAGTGCACATCTGTGTTATTGTCAAAGAAAAGCACAGCCAACATTATCATAAACATATAAGTAACACTTAATAAATTAAAGATGCACTAATTGATATTTTGATATAATTATCAGTATGTTCATGTGTCCAGAGTCACTCTGTTAAGCTCTGAGCTTTTTAACATTTTCCAGTTTATTATTTTTGCAACCACCAGCTGCAACGGATATTCATGCCATGTTCTGTACGTGCTGGACAGTGTTTAAAGTTTTACTTAACAGAAAGTAATGAATTACATCCTTCCACAAGTCACGAGAATCATTAGTCCTCCTGCAGTATTGGAAGGAACTTAATTAAATGTGCATATAATGAATGATTGCCTAATATGTCTTCACCCAAACTGTAAAGGCCACACATGTGGTCTTTACAGTTTGGGTGAAACTGGTTTGGATCATGAGGCAGATGTACTACTATGTCACTGACATGCTGATTTAAAAAGTTCTGGGTTATGTTACTTATTTGCTTCCTACAGACCACAGGTGGCTTTTCCTTCTTCTTTGGAATGTTTTTCACCAACTTTTATGTTTACTTTGTTACACTTAAGGATTGTGTGTGGCCTGATTAGGGTAGGAATTATTAGTGATTGGGACTGTAACTATATTATACTGTTAATTTATGAATTATGTGATTTTGTATCTCAGGTCATTTTGCGGGGTAACATAAAAGTAATGTAACGAGTAGTTTAATGAATTAGTGTCTATAGCAGGGCCGGTATCGTGAAACTTTTCCATGTGTCTCTGCTGCAGCACACCTGAATAAAATTAGTAGGTGATTAGCAAGACTATAGAACTTGACTGCAGGTGGCAATTCAGCCATTTGATTCATGTTACAGCAGCTCATGAATGAATATGGTTCAATAAAACTAGTTTTAACTTAAGTACATTTAAATAAAAGTGTAAGTAAGGTTAGGTGTTGCCACCTCAGCATGCAGTCAAGTCTTGCTAATCACCTACAAATCTTATTCAGGTGTGTTGCAGCACCGACACATGGAAAAGTTTCAGGATACCGGCCCTGCTATAGACACTAAGGCTACGTCCACACGTACCCGGGTATTTTTGCAAACGCAGATTTTTCTATGCGTTTGCACCTTTCGTCCACACGTAAACGGCGTTTTCGGTCACTGAAAACGAAGATTTCTAAAAACACCTGCCAGGGTGGAGATTTTCTTAAACTCCGTTTTTGCATTTACGTGTGGACGAGAAAAACGGAGAAAACGCAGCGTCAAAGGTGTGCGCCTTTTTTGACGTCACACTGTGCGCCACGTTATTGTTTCGGTGAAATTAATTTCTACAATACTGTTACTTGTACTCTCTGCAGTGTTTAAATGCTTACATATACACACACAGTTACTGTCCCTCCACACATACAACTCGGTTCTGCTTCTATGCCCCATCTTTGTTTACTATTTCCCACCGAGGCTTCTAGACTTCTGATTGGCCAACATTTCTACACGGTTAGGAATATATCGCCACCTGTTGCTTTGGCATGTTCCTAGCAGCATTTTCCTTCATTTCTGCGTTTACGTGTGGACGGGATTATTTTTTAAAACGAAAACGGAAAATCTCCGTTTTCAAAAATACCCGTGTACATGTGGACGTAGCCTAATTCATTAAACTACTCATTACATTACTTTTATGTCACCCTGCAAAATGACCTGAGATACAAAATCGCATAATTCAAAAATTAACAGTATAATATAGTTACAGTCCCAATCACTGATAATTCCTACCCTAATCAGGCCACAAACAATCCTCAAGTGTAACAAAGTAAACATAAAAGTTGGTGAAAAACATTCCAAAGAAGGAGGAAAAGCAACTCTTGTATCAACAGAATCAGACAGAAATGGAGTCTAGAATGCTACATGTAGCTATAATGCTACATGTAGCTATAATGCTACATGTAGCATTATAGCTACATGACTGCTCATTCCTGCTTTTGTCACCTGTTGAATTCAGCTGCTCGGCTGGCGTCAGCATTCAATCCCTTTAACATCACTCGGCACTTGCCAGACTTTATATATCTACAGATCTATAGCTTTGTGATAAAATGATGTCTTTGCATTTGCTTACAAAAGAGCTAATTTAAGTCACGTGGAAAAGTAACCATGTTCTAGATCAACTAGCCTTCTTTCTGACAATAGAGGAGTCGCCTCCTGTTGGCCATTAGAGAGAGTGCAGGTAAAATACTGCTAAAAACCTCACAGGTGGAGGCTACATTATGTCCATCTTTATATCCAGTCTGTGGCTTGGTTTAACTTTCATTAGCTATCAGTCAAAACGTAAAATCATAAACAAAGTCAGGGACAATCGTTCATTTGAATACATACATAGTTTATTTAGCTAATGTGATTTGTGATATCTTTATATTAGTTACAAAAACATAATTTAATTTTCTATACCCGTGTGGTTCTGTTCCCCACTCTGACATGACAGTTGCAGAGGTAGTGGAAATAAGTGACGCAATCTGAAAAAGGATCATGTTGTACAGGATAGTTGCCCTGATTGAAAGCGTATATTACATCTGGTACTCGAAGGATGAAAGACACTGAGATTACTGCTGAGACAAACTACAGTATGAAGGTCCAAACACACCACACGCACACAAAAAAGTACATGTGTACATACACAGAAATATCTGGATGTGTGACTATGTGTACAAAGCTCCATAAACACAATACATAGTGAGTTCTGTCAGACAAATGACAAAAAATACTTTTCCAGATTCAGTGCATACACATTCTCACATCATCAGGGTATTTGTTCATATGTGGTTTAAATATGGAGTGAATTTCTTTTTCCTTTCCTTTACACAAGTTGATCGTTTAGAGTAAAAAGGACTGCAGTGATGTGTAAACATACACACAACATAAGCAAGGGGAGAAGTTGCACTATTGTCCATGTTTATATCTGTCAGTTTAAAACAATAAGGCACAGTTAGCTTACATTTCCTCCTCCTCCCAGAAGCAAATGACCTTCCATACAATCAGCAGCGACACATACTGATATCCACATTAACATAAAGCAGTGTGATACACGTGTGGGAAGATTCCACCTGCAAGCTGGAATTGTGTTTGCTTGTGTTTTTTAAAGGTAATTTGAAATGCACAAAAAGACAAATTTAACTGAGAATAAACCTCTAATTCCCCAAATTCTCATATAAAAAGAAAATAATTTTATTGAAATGTAATACACATTATTCAAAGAAAAACAGATCATTATAGTTAACAGTTCACGATTTGTTTTATATTATTTAATATATGAATGAAAAGCTCCAATCTGCTATCATTTCAACAAGCTAAGGGTGTTAGCTGCAAAGTGCTGTCCAGTGTCCAACAACGTTAGCATCTGCATATATCTTACAGCGAAGTGACACCTCCTCCACACACCAGGATAATAAATTAAGCTGCTTAATAGTTAACTGTGTTAAAAAAATAATGCCACAGGGGGAGGAGTCATTATTATTCGCTTAAATGTCATCGCTCTGCTAAAACTGGTTTTAAGCAAACTTCAAAATAAATGTCTTCTTTCTAAATATACACACATAAAAAGAAAATAAACACAATCTTTGAGATGCTACACCTTATAATTGATAATAAACGTAATTAAACAAATACACAAAATGCTTGTTTTGGATGTCAATATGTAAATATCAGAACATTCCAAGCATGTTATTTACCTTACCACACATTAAATTTAATGGTATATGATTTATTTATTTATTTTTTTGCTTAAATAACATTATCCATACTGCATCATTTTAATTACCGGGAAAATTGGGCATTGGAAAAAATAGGAATGAAACTTTGTGCTGAAATTAATTTATATTCCCCATATTTTCACATGACAAGATTTTGCTTTGTTTTTTGTGTATAATTCAACCTATAAATATCAAGAAAATATAGTTTAGAAAAGAAAAATGCTCATGTATTTATCCCATGAAAAATAAATTGTTTTTGATATTATAAATAGGTAAATGTAACAAACAACAACCTGGCTTTCTTGACCTTTCATGTGGCTTGAAACCAGCAGGGGGCAGTGCTATTTGATAGAAGTGATTTTGCAGCATTCATAGTGAACCTCTTTCCACTAATTAAGTGCAGGCTGAATAAAGTAACATTCACAGACTTTAAATGTAGGAGGGTACAGACATGACAGTATATAAAAATACTGTGTGATACGGGAATGAAATGCTGATGAACTAAAGTGCATTTCTGGAGACAAGCGGCCATAACAGGAGATTCAGATTAAGTGATTCTTAAAGGAAAATATATGTGAGACTAAGTCCAGGACAAAAAAGAGCTCAAAGAAACTGAACAATATTACCTGCAAGAAACAAAACAAACAAAGAACACAGCAGTGGTCAATACTCATACCAGAGTTCACACAGACAAGCAAAACAGCAGCCGATTCAAACCCACCTACAGAGGATATCACAGCATTATTATCATGAGTCTTAGATAAAGACAAGATATGGTTGAACCACTGATACACAGCTTGATATCAGGATTTCAGAGTTCTGAATACACATCCCACCATTTATAAAGGGACCAGTGTGTATGTTCATGATTACTTGCAAATGTGTTTGGCTTTCTTATCTGTGGCAGGATATCATTTGGTCAGTTTTAGCTCCAGGTTTTCAGACAAAAACTGATCAGCAGCACAGCAGGGTGACCTTTACAAAAATACACATGTAATGGATATCATACTGAACAACACTGACATTTATAACAACCAAAATATCTGAGTGAACACGACACACTTGGACACAATTAGCATTTCTTAATTAGTGACGTGTTCCTTCATCTTGTTAACATACTGGTGCGCGGGTTGTTAGTGAATTAGTTTGTTAATGACTACAGCATATAGAATACAATTACTTAAAGCTTTATCACGTAGTATACACACATTACATTGATTTCTCATGAGTTGGGAAGTTAATCAAACCAAAGAGGTGGACCACGTTTAACACAAAGATTTATCAAGATTCATCAAGTTTTCACTGTCTCCCCTGCACTGATTGCACTAAATTTAAGGCAATGTATCACAGTATGGAGAGGCAATGGTCACTATAAATATGTTTCCCTGTATAGCTGTGTTACAATGTGAGCATATTGCTTATGGGCTTCATATGTAGAAAACCACTCGTAATCGATGGTTTTTGGTCATTAATACCTTCTTAAGGCCCACAGAGGAAATTACATTCAACCATAATTAAATTCACTGAATTGCAGCAATTTCATAATGAAGTCTGGAATGAAGTGTGGCCATTTCACTTTTAGTGCGGCACACGGTATATGTGAGTATAAGAATATGGGACCCAAGACATTTAACGTAGCATTTTATGACCCGATCAGAGCTTGGACTTTTTGGCAGGTTTTACTGCATAAAGTTAGAGTTCTCGGATGGACAGCATAATACACAGGCGCCAGCTGTGAACACATCTGTACCTTATTTATGGAAGTTGGAATTTTAGGGCACCCAGTTGCCATATAAAGCACAGTGCAATTAGGTACAGTCCCATTCTTCACAACTTGAATTTAAATGTTGATACTTGTAGAATGGGTGTGTTCATTACTATGGCCAAAGGTGATTCCTTCATCTGCCTTTTCTGGTAAGCTATTTGCACTAGCAATTTAGCACCCTCCATTTAACTTGTCCAATATGGGTGTAGAACCTCAAACAACCCAGATGCTGAACAAAAAGGAAATGAAATTGCTTGTTGGCTGAAGCCAGAGGTTGAAATTAGTTCAACTTCAAGAACAGACTGTATATAAAAGATGGATTTAACCACCATGTCATTAAGCATCAGTTAGAGAAGTCCCAATGCAAAGCCTCGAGCTAAGCATTTTTTCCATCGCTACCTTTGAGCTTTGAAAGGATTGGTTCCCACAAAAAGGAAGTCCTGCAATGTAACAATGTGTCAATCACAAAGCATGCCCAAAAGGATACTCTTAAGTTTTATATGCACAATAATTAATGAAAATTTATGTCATTTATGTCATTTTAAATAAGATCTAGTGATCTGTATTGACCTTCATTAAACTGGACTACTGTTTGCACCCCCCAGTGGCCATTAAAAAAAATGCATATTTAAGGCACTTCCATACTGGCTTTGCATTTATGACTCAGAAGTTATGTCCATCTTTTATCAGCAGTCTGTGGTCAAGACATCACAAGTAACGGAGACTGGTTTAAGTGACGGAAATGTCTTTGAATGCCAAAAAACCCCTATCTTATTTACCAGTTATGTTGTTAAGGAGGCTTATTTATTTTAAACATGTGGTTGCTGGTGCTGTTGGAATTATGATGCATTCAGGTCAGAAGACGCAGCAGGAAGAATGGAAAGATATTTTCTGTTGGGTCACACAGAAAATCTCTTTAAAACAGAGTCAGTACTATTATTATTTTAATAAATGGCAGCAGATAAATCTTTGATGAAGGTTTCAAAATTATCTGCCAATTTTTTTAATTTGCTGCTACAATTGCTCCCACTTGTCCTAGTTTTATAGGACAGAAACAATATTCCCTTGTACTGACTCAAACAGCCACTGTGTCATGTGAGTGTTTCTCCACACGCCGCAGTTTATAGTATTTCCGATACAAGCTCAATGTTGGAAAAAAGAAAATACAGTTAGTACTACCACAAACATTCCACAAACATTTTGACTTTTAGCCTCTTCACATGCAAACAGTATGTTACACTTTACTTTTTGTCAAAGAGAATTTATCCCTCACAGCCTCTCCTACAACACTGCTGTTGCTTTGGCTTTAGAGAAGTAGAGGACCCCAGATAGAGCCTGGCGGAACACCGGGAGGCACCTCTTAGCTCGGAGCTCAGTCTGATCATAGTGGAGGGTGTGGCAAGATTGCAGCAGTGGTGACAGTGAGGTGTTGGCAGAGTAGTACAATCTAGATGTTGGTTTCCCGCTGCATAGGTTGCTCGTCTTTCTGACTTTCGTCGACCAGTTCTTCAGTGGCCTGGGCTTCGCCATCAGCCTCCTTTTGATCCAGAGTTTGGTCCGGATCTTCTGTCTCAGTCCGTTTGTACATCTCTGCACGTCTGCGCTCACGATCTAAGAGTCTATAGTTAATGAAGTTTCCGATGAAGAGCCAAATACTGGCCAGAATCACAATAGCTCCACAGCAAAAATACATATACTTGTAATTTTTTGTGACATCGACCAGTTTCCCTGCAAGACAACAGAAACTATTAAGATATAAATAATATACATTTTAGAGTATCACATGTAAAACTGAGGTACACTATACCGGAAACATGTTTCAGCTAATGTCACTTAATTTTGAATTGTGGGTTCGGTCAGTGTTTTCCTTAAAGTTGTGTTGCCAAATCATTTATTTTCCATTTCTGGGATTCCACCAATCAGCTGGTTAACTTGTAGAGGGCAAAATACTAAAGTGTTTTTCAGGACTGGTATCATTTTCAACTAGCTGCAGTAGTCCAGGATCAATTGACTGCAAATAGATGCTATCATTCGTTGTTCTTGACAGCATTAAATTGAATGGAAACCAGTAAATGAATGAAATATGCTCAAAAACAGAAAGACTGTACCTGCTAATGGTGGCCCAATGAGAACTGGGCAGCACTCCACAATGGTGGTCAGTCCCACAGCACTGGAGAACCTCTGAGCTCCAACCAGGTCCATCAAGGTCTCAAACAGCACTGAGCTGACCATTCCAAAGGCAAAGCCAAAGAATATTGCATACACCACCAAACCAGTGTAGCTTTCAACCAGTGGACAGAGGATATGGCATACTCCATTGTACAGTACAGCAAAGCTGAAGAAGTACTGGATCTTGGGTCTGACCCAACGAGAGTTGGCCAGTAGCCCCATGGAAGGCCTGGCACCCATGTCCACAAAAGCCAGGATTGAGAGCAGGAAGGCAGCAGAGTACTCATCTACACCCATGTCCTTTGCATAGGCAGCAAGGAAAACAATAGGTGCGAAGAAGCCTACGAACATGATGACATTACCCGACAGGTAAATGAGAAAGCCACGATGCTTGAACAGAGATAAGTCCAGATACTTGTTAACTATTTGCAAAAAACTGCGCTTCTCCTTGCTCGTGGTAGCAATGGCGGCCAACTCTTCATCCTTCTTGACCTTGCCAGGTGGAGGTCCTAAAGGCCTCATGAGCGAACCTGCCACACAGCAATTCAGCAGCAGGCCACCCAAGATGAGGAAGCTTCCTCTCCAGCCAAACTGATTGTAGAGATACTGGTTGAGAGGAGCCAGGGTGCTGAGGAAGACTGGACTGCCTGCCATTGCCAGCCCATTAGCAATCGGACGCTTCTTATAGAAGTATTTCCCTATCATAGTCAACGCTGGCTGCAGGTTGAAGGCCAGCCCCAGTCCTATATTGAAAGAAAGGCATTGAACTTGAAACAACTGTGCTTTAACTGCAGTTACAATAATCAATACTACAGAATACTACTTTTATTTTTTTGTTTACCTAAATAAGAACTAAAATTAAAATAAAGTTTGAAAAAAAAAAGACATAAGAATAGCTTTAAGCAAAAAAGGATTTTTGTTGATGTTGCTTTGGTGCTTATAGCTATGCTACAGCAGCAGTTTGGCTTGAATCTATGAAACTAAGGACATTCCTGTCAGCCACAACTATAATTTGTGCTTATTAGTGTTTATTAGGAGGCTTGATATTAGCAGGCTAATGCACGAAATGAAAAAGGTCATCATTATCCCTGCTGTGGAACAGCATTAGCAGTGTGCACACTGCCGGCACGGAGAAAATACCAGCAAATAGAAAAATGCTGCAATAGCACAACAATTTGAATAAAGCACTGGATATATTAAAAAAAAAAACAGAATGGAAAATGAATAAAACACAGTGGAAGTAAAAAACAAAAACAAATCACAAAACATAAGGAAAGTGCAGCTGTTTTTGTTTTTTTTGCTGTTTTTAGTATTTCTGTTGTTTTTTTTCATGCTTTTGCAACAGTTTTCTATTTGATGGTGTTTTCTTCAGTTGCACTTGAGTTTTATTCATAAAGAGGTCAGAAAAAAACCTTCCTAATGCAATGCATTGCGAGCGAATGATTTAAAAAGCTATTAAATAGTTTAACAGTACAACAGGACACTAAATGGTTTGTTCCCCACATGTGAATACTGATCATTAGATGGTAAATTTGTGACATTTTAATGCTCTGTATTGATACTGTTGTACTGTAGCTGATTTCTGGAAAACATGAAACAAGTGCCACGTCCAAATATGGAAATGATTAATCTTACAAAATTTTAAATAAAAGAAAATGACTTAAATATATACAGCAAACTATTTTCTTTTCTAACCAGATTCCAATGAATAATCAAATTAACCCAAAATGGATTTAAACGGATTCAGATGGACTTACCAGTAACAACTCCCATACAGATGTAAAGCTGCAACACATTAGTGCAGAAGGAAGCTGAGATCATGCCCAGGGCACAGAGGCAGCCCCCCATCATGACGATGGGTCTGCAGCCATATGTGTTCACCAGTATGCTGCTGATGGGACCTGCAAAATATAGAAGACAGAAAATCAAACCACATGTTTGCATGTTTACAGCTGTCAGGATCACTGAAAGTGAGCGCATAATGACTTAATCTTGTTAGCGCCGAACACCACCCAGAACCCAGCAGCTATTAATAGCAGAAACTAGGTTGTTTCAATTTTTAAACGAGGCACTCCCACCATCGTGTGTCAAATTAATTTAAGTAAAGTGACAGTGTGATTAAACAGAATAGACTTGCATGTAAAATTACTTTTTAAATTCCATTTGACAAGTTTAAGTTATGTAAAAAAATGCATTGTGTCGAAATACATTAACTAATGTTTTATTCTCCCGGCTGCACATTTAGAGGCTGTGCAAACAAACAGCCTTAAGAAAACATTCAGTTTACTCACTGAATCCAGATTTGTAAGGGATACAAAAGAGTCGCCTACTGCGAGCATGTGAGGTCACTAATTATGCAACTTCAGCATGTAATGACACTGAAAGCTCACAGCCAAAGTCTTAAATTAGGTTAATTAGGTTATAAGAAATCCCTAATGTAACCATGTTATCTAAATGACTTAATGAAAAGAAAAAACAGAGGTCTGTGTGAATATTATTAAACAAATGTTAATAGGAAAAGACTGATTAGATCTCACAAAGGCACTTCCATAGTTTTACTATGCTATGAGCTGTAGGTATGTATGACTTGTAATAAATCTCCGAATGCACCTTCATTATGAAATCCATGAATCTCAGCACTGAATTCATCAGCCAGGATGCACTTCCAATGTGAAATCCAGCACTGAGCAAGACTTTCAGTGGAGCCTGCCTGATTTATTCACACATCGATGTTATCAGCCAATGTTATAATGGAAGAGAATTGAATAGAATAGGTTTTGGTTTTTTTTGTTGTACATGTAGAACAAAATTGTGGGCAAAGAAATTTTGAAAAGTCGAGACTGGAGAAACACCCTTCAAGCATTCAAGCACTGTTTAGATTGCTACAAATGTAACAAGCAGTTGATCCCAGCAGAGTTGGGAAGAGTGTAAACAAGCAAATGCTTAACTACACATAACAAATGTTAGGGAAATCGAATTACGTTTCATGTGTCAGAAAGAACAAGAATCATTTTTTTCTTTTTATCACCATTATCGTCATTAGTCTCAAAAATTCCATATCAGTCAGGCTTTAATTTTTAAAGCTGTAGTATATTTGGACAATTGTGGTCAATAGGACACCATGTAATCACATTACTGACATATAATGATCTAATAAGACTAGTAGCGTAAATTTGAATCCAATATTAACCCTCAGCCTTGGTTCAGCAACTCATGAAGGAAAATATCTGGCTCTCTAGCTGCTAACTGCTATCTCGCCGCTTTGCCAGCTTAATCAGGGTCCTAACTGTTAGTGCAAAGTTTTCACTGTATGCTACTAGTTACCATAATGGAAATAGATGCCTGGTGCTAATGGAAGCAAAACTCATAAGAGTTAAACATGAAGCTATAGCTGTGAGTCAGAAAGTAAGACAAGTTGAAAGATGGAAATTGAAGCTATCGCTCTATTAAGCTAATAGAAACTGGAGTTGGGTCAACAACACAAAAAAATCATCAAATTATTCAGGGTTAAAATGAAAATATTTTAAAATATTAGTAAGGATGATAACCACAGGTATTTATTATCTCAAATTCAAATTTCAAATTCAAATTTTATTTGTCACGTACACAGTCATACACAGTACGATATGTAGTGAAATGCTTGGACAACTGCTGGTGACCTAAAGAAAACAAAAAAGGAAAAGGCTATGAATAAGATAGGAAATAAATATGAGAAATTAAAAAGGGTAAATTTAACTAGGAAGGAATAAAATATAAATTAAGGTTAAAAATGAAATAACTGTACAACACAAATTAGAATGAAGGGTAAATTTAACTGGGAAAGAATAAGATAAAATATATAAATTAAAGTTGAAAATAAAATAACTGTACAACAAAATACACAATATAGAACTATATAAGAATGTATGAAGAAATATAAATAAATATATACACAATAACAGCAGCTTAACAAGTATTAACTGGAAATGAAGAATATAATGTCCAGTGTTGTGCAATCCGCATTATGTCTTGTGCAGTGCAAATTTGCTTAAAGTGATTTAAGTGATCTCCGCCAAGGAGGTTGTGTTTTTGGTGTGCATGTCACTCTGTCTCTAAACACAATAGCTTGAAAATCTTTGAATAAATTCAGATAAAACTTTGAAGGGGAGTAGAGTGGGGTCACAATCCATCCAAATTTGGCTTGCATCCACCAAGGTTTTCAAAATAAACTCAATGATTTATTGGTGGAAAATTTACAAAAAGCCTTGTAACTTATAAACTATGATTGGTGCAGGTGGTGTGTATTGTCAACATGTAGAAAGTACCGAAATATGATTTAAAATCATATGACATTTGACCTCTGATCTCTAGATTGATAGATTGATCCGAAGGTCAATATCATTATAATGCTTCACAGAGCGATTTAAGAAAGTGTTTCTCGGGTGCCATTATTCGTTTGAATAAAATAAAAATTTTAAAATTTTAAAAAAAGGTGCCATTATTTGTACTGAGAACATATGGGCATACAGGGAATTATATATGGGGATTCTATATATCACATTACTTTGGACCTTTCACTTCTTCTCACTCTTCTTCAAGGTCAAATAAGGTCAAACGTTTATATCTTTTATCTTAAAAACTATGCTTAAAATAAATTCTGCCTTTTTGTTCGTATTAGCAACATATAGGAAATGACACTGTTTATGATTATTATCTAATTCAACTCAGTTCAATTTATATAGCGCCAAATCAAAACAGTCGCCTCAAGGCGCTTTATATTGTAAGGTAATACATACAGAGAAAAACCCAACAATCACATGACCCCCTATGAGCGAACACTTTGGCGACAGTGGGAAGGAAAAACTCCCTTTTAACAGGAAGAAACCTCCAGCAGAACCAGGCTCAGGGAGGGGCGGGGCCATCTGCTGTGATTGGTTGGGGTTAGGTGTTATGTACTTTACAGTAACAGCTTGTAACCAACAATATGTAACAACATTACTAATAATTTTACTAAACAATGAAATGAATGCTACAAATGTACTACATCCACATAAACAAATAACAATTATATACAAAATGATGTCAAGAATGTTGAAATGGGATTCATATAACAAAAGCCTGCATCTTGCACTTGCTTTAAGTGCACTTCAAAGCTATTGCAGTGCTTCTTGCTGTCATTAAAATCTAGTTCTTCCTGCATTAAAAAAAAAAAAAAAAAAAAAACGCAGAGTAAGTCCATTTCTATTCTAATAACAGTGATGGGAAAATCTCCTCTAACTTAATGACTTACTGTTTGTTATTCTCCGTTGGGCCTGGAATGAATTTTCATTCACATTTTTCTGCTTTGCTGCTCGTTTCACTGATTTTAGCTAAAAATGGTTGACTCAACAACTCAGATTATATTGCTGCTGTGGCACTTTATGTTCTATTGTTTACATTTTGTTCCACTTGAGATGTGTGAGAACATTTGATTGCTTTCTCTGTACAAAGCACCCTGCTTATAATGAGGCAGCAATAAGAATTGTTTGAGAAATCTAAGCATCTTTTAACTCACCCCGTCTCCTAACCTTTTTGCTGAATTTTAAGTGCAGGAGGTGTAAATCGAACAGAAAGAGAAAAGTAATGAAAGATGTTTTTTCTTCTTCTTCTTCTTTTTTTGAATAATGCTCTCATTACCAGGCAGAAGATGTATCATATTTCTGCCAGGCCCAATGCAATTTAAAAAGCCACACTGGGCGAGGAGTCATCTCACTTAATTTGCTCTGCATGAATCTTTTTTCGACCTTGAGGAAAGTTCCCCTCATTTGCATCCGCAGCAGTGATCGGTATTCTCGGGGGCTTGGCGGGACCCGAATCGGCCAAGATGAGGAAGCCCCTGAGCCTGCACATTACCTCTCTTGCAAAAGGGCTTATCATCTCCTGGCCAGACACAGCGTGGACTTCATTACACAGTGGACAAAGACCCAAACTAAATATAAGCACCTAGATCCCAAAAGGGAATGACACATATAGAGACGCGTCTAACAGGTTTTTTTTTTTTTTTTTTTTCCACGAGACTTTAATGTGAGCTGCAAGCGAAGAGGCTGGTTCAGCTCACGATAGATGCCGGCTATCCATCACACTTCAAACAGGATAAAGAGTTGACAGAAATGGAGGCAAACAACTTTTAAAAGCTGTTCTGCGGTTTTTTGAAGTGACTCACCGCCGACCCATTACACGGATGTTTTAAGGGAAATAACGGAGAGTGAACCAGCCCGAAACCCAGTTTATTTATGTGATAAAAGTTTATCCAAATTTTCGGGCTCACAAGAGGCTTTGATGTAAAGTTTACACTTGTAGAGCAGTAAGCAGCAACATCCTGGATGATGCTAACACGGTGGCTTTAAGCCGGAAAAAAAATAAATGCAGATTTTTAAAGGTGCTTGAAATTCACTGGCATGATCAGTCAGGGCAGGTAAAGTTTTCACCACAGAGGTGCTTCTGAATAAGTTACATAAGTTCTCATTTTTAAAGAGACGACAACACTTACATGTTTCCTCACAATATCCACATTTCTAATGATAATTCATGCACGTCACTGGCAACAGTTCTCTTTTCAGCTACTGTGCAGTGTGGTAAAAAGGACTGCTCAATCACTTTGACATGCAGCAAATACAGCAACCTTAAGGTGTTAATGAGGTGGAAATGACATCTCAAGTTCAAGAAACAAGGTTCCCATTGACTTTTTCCACTGAGAAATAAGAGTAAATGAATGTATAAAAGTATATTTACTCATCATCATAAGCAATATTATTGTTAATATTTTTCTAAAATGACCAGGTAAAACATTAAAAACAAAATATTTGGCTTTTTTCCTTATGAGAAACCAGCCTTCGTATCCTGTCTTTAAGACTAACAGTGAGTGTGATACAGTGTGCAGCGT